ACACTGGTCACTTGAAAATTGAATCTATTACAATACGAGCATAATGTTTATTTAAAATGATCCACGGTTGTTAGCATTATTATGTTGCTTTTCCTAGCATAAAGTTAATCAATATTATCCATTAGCAAGTTTTATTTCTGATCTTAACAACACAAATTCAACAATCGACTTGTACTGGAAGTATATCAGCATTCATCTAAGGGTAATAACATGTGATTGTAACTAGAGGCTTAATCTTTCAAATTTCCAAATCTTCTAAGCACAAATAATCCAAAAGTTTCCTACCAGATGTTGGTGATATCACTATCTGGTCATTCATACATTAACCGTAGTAGTGTTCAGGATAATTCTTATCTTCGTTAATGAAGTTCAACAAATTTTTATTACAGATAGAAATCATGAGTCAGTTGAAGCTAGACCACCATTGAAAACCTGGAAGCACTGGACGGCCGTTTCGTCCTAGTATGGGACTCCTCAGCAGTGCGCATCCACGATCCCGCACCACGCGGCCTGCTGTAGCAGGCCCATTCAACTATTGTATCATTTACACGAAGTTGCGCCAACTTCGTGGATTAGTTGAAGTTAGACATTAACACCGTTGGATGCCGGCTCAGTGGTCTAATGGTTAAGTGCTCGCGCGCGAAGCCAGTAGGTCCTGGGTTCGAGCCCCGCGTGGTGCGGGATCGTGGATGCGCACTGCTGAGGAGTCCCATACTAGGACGAAACGGCCGTCCAGTGCTTCCAGGTTTTCAATGGTGGTCTAGCTTCAACTGACTCATGATTTCTATCTGTGAAAATTTCTACAAATCTCCACAAACCCCTTCTGATAAAATTTTTATTAGTATACAACTTGTCGGTGATCGGAATCACTGAAACCTATTGGACCCAAGCTGCACAGAAAAGATTACATTCAAGAGAGGTGCTACTTTATTCTGGTCACGAGGGAGAAAATACTCCTCACACGTAGGGATTCGCACTGATGCAGTCCAAAGTAGCACGAAACACACTTTAGGGATGGGAATTTCATGGACCTAGGATCATCATTGTTCTAGAAAAAGAAAGAAGGAATCATAATTAATTTTAGCCAAATTAATGCATCAACCAATGATACCATCGATGACGATAAAGGTCAATTTTACGACAGGCTGCAATCGATCGCAGCGAAGTACTCAGAAAGGATTTGACCATTTTGATGGGAGACCTAAACGTCAAAAGTCGGGATGGACATAATCGGGTAAGAAGATATGAAATGACATGAACTGGGAGAGAAAAATGGGAATAATGAGATATTTGCAAATCTATTTATATTCAACGTGTTAGGAAGTACTGGGTCGCAAGAGGCATCACCATAAGGAATGGATCTCCATGGCAACCCTGGACAAGGTTCAAGAAAGCAAGAACTAGAAGAAAGCAATTAACAACGACCGAACAAAAGCCTAGGCAATCAAGGTACAAGCTGAATACGCAGAAGCAAACAAGCAAACGAAGTGAAGCATTGGAGTCGACAAGCAGAACTACGTGGAAGACCAAGAAGTGACAACGGAAAAAACCGTAAGAGAAGGAAATATGAGACATCTGATAGATCAATTACAAGTGAGGACCGGCGTCAGAAAGGGCTGCTTACTCTTGTCCTTTTTATTTTCTCTGGTGGTCGACTGGATACTTACTTATGCCTGTTAACCCTCGCGGAGGAGCATAGGCCGCTCATCATCACTCTCCACCCTGTCCTGGACAGTCCTTTCCAGTTGTCATTCATCCTTTTCATATCTGCTTCTATTTCCCGATGTAATGTGTTCTTTGGTCTTCCTCTTTTCTGCTTCCCTTCAGGATTCCAAGTTAGGACTTGCCTCGTGATGCAGTTTGGTGATTTCCGTAATGTATGTCCTATCCACTTTCATCGTCTTTTCCTAATTTCCTCTTCAGTTGGAAGCTGGTTTGTTCTCTCCTACAGTAGGCTCTTGCTGGTAGTATTCGGTCAACGCATATTAAGTATTTTGTATAGACTGTTGTTTAGAAATACTAGTACATTTTCGATTATGGTTGTGGTAGTTCTCCAAGTTTCAGTTTCATACAGTGGAACTGTTTTGACGTTCGTATTGAAGATTCTGACTTTGATGTTGGTTAACAGTTGTTTTGAGTTCCATATGTTCTTAAGTTGTAGGAATGCGACCCCTACTTTGCTAATCCTCGCCTTTACGTATGCATCCGATCCTCCTTGTTCGTCTATGATTCATCCTAGGTACGTGAAATATTCCACACATTCCAGAGTTCCTCCACCAAGTGTGATGGAGTTTGTGTCCTCCTTTGTGTATGTTGATGCCTACCGATGCAAAGACTGCTGCTACACCAGTTCTCTTCATCTGCATTTGTTCGTGTGTACGGGATAGAAGAGCCAGGTCATCTGCGAAGTCCAAGTCGTCTAATTGGTTCTGAGCTGCTCATTGTATTCCGTGCTTCCCCTCAGATGTGGGGGTCTTCATAATCCAATCGACTACTAGAAGAAAGAGGAAGGGGGAGAGTAGACAGTCTTGTCTGGCACCGGTCCTCACTTGGAATGTATCTGTCTGCTGTCCTCCATGCACTCGTAATAATTGTAGTTCAGTTAAAATGCAGACTTAACAAGGAGGCCTTCAGAACAAAGTCCAGTTAATTTTTTATGGTATCTATGAGATTGAAGTAATGGTATTTAGGTCAATTAAAGTTTTCATATCCTGCCACATCTGATTTCATAAGGGGAATGTGCATCTTACAAACTCCACCTCAATTGGAAAAAGAAACCCAGTTAAAACGAGATGTTCATCACACTTTAGTCTATAACTCAGGTGTGACAACAATGAACTAACTAAACTTCTTTTGGTTAACATAAGACTGAAATCATCGGTAAATTCTTTTTAAAAACAAAATACGCTGAATTGTTACTTTATCTTCATTTCAAGCTCTTCAACATTCCATACTTACCATGTTATATAGAACAAGATCCAAAAGCTTTGAGTCTCACAATGATGAACGATGTTAATATTTAAATTGATTGATCACAGTAGTCATCAGTTCCACGTTTGTTTACTTTTTAGCGCCAATCGAATTCTATTGATCAGAGTGTTAGTGTTCAGATACAAGATTTAACCAAAATATCCCTGTTTATTTCATAATTAATCATCGGATATAATCCGTTTATTATAGTAATGTACGAAATCGGCATTCGATAAGAAGTAATCTTCAAAGTTCGTAGAGTAGTTTATCCCATGGATGTTATCACACCATATTTTCTTAATAAGTAATGAGCCAATAGTAAATACCAGGTTTCATGAGGTAGGTTTCTGAAGATTGTTTAGTCTGAAATCATTATTCAACACTAACTGGAGAGCTGTTGAAAATCATAGATCACTATACAACTGTCTTCCTAGTTTCTAATGCTTGAGGTGTGCTTAATTTCCGATGGTTCTATTTCTGAAATTATCCCATAGTTCAGACTATTTTTAATACTGTGTTTACTCTGTCCCACGGAAGCTAACATCTACAGATGTTTCTGGTCTGACTCTTGCAAACACAAATATAATGTCATTCTTGTGCTGCACAATATGTACAATCGTTATGTTTGAGCTCAACCTAGTACTTGATTGGAAAGACAGGGGAGGGATGAAAACCTTTGCTGGCTCACTTGAATTGAAGATTGTATACAAGCTCATGCACGCATGTGTCCACTGGATAGTTGACCAATAGCTTGGATACATCAACATATCTTACCCAGCATTTGGCCTCTAATTAGCATCTGCGCATAGGCATGTTATATGCTTGACTGGCCCAGCTTATTAGTCACCGACTAACTTCATGTTTTGGGTGGCACCATCTGGTTGAGAGAATTACAGGCCACAGGAAGAAAACTTATGAACCATATTATAGTCTTTTTTGAATGCACAATTAATTATTCTTCACCAGATGGTGACATACTTGTTATGAATGAAATCTCAGGTTAAACTCAACCAGTTATAGAATACAGTCATAATAAAACAATGTTTATAATCTATCACGTTGTCAACTGTCATCACTAAATACTTCAGTATCATTTTCGGGTCTTTTTTCTTGTATTTTCGATTGTTTTGATTGACCTTTTTATATCAGATAATTATCTTAACAAGATAATATAGGATTGTTGTTGTTCAAATTGTTTTAGGCCATTATAACACAGGTTGAATAAGCTTGGTTGGTTTTCTCATTACATGCAATTTAAATTGAACTGTTTTATATTTCTTATGGGCAGTCTCTACCTCTACCGATTTTTATTTATTTATTTATTTTTCTGATATAAATTGTGACAACTTGAGCTCATAGACATTTGTGCCAATTCCTATATTTCCTGTCATAAATATCTATATTTAATAAGTGTAGACGTAGTTTAGCATATCCCTTCATATGTGCCTTTTCATTTTGTCTTTCCGAACTGTATTCTCGTTGTTCAATATTCCTCATTGTGATTGATAGTATAATTATTTCGATTTCTTTAATATCCGTTTTGTTTGTTCCATCTAATGTTGGTGTGTTATAAATCATGGTGGCGTACATCCATGTCAGGCTCTTCACGTCTTACCCCTAACCAATTTATTTCAGTTTCCATATCCTTTCTGACTAGATTCACTTTCAACATTTTGTCTTTTAAATGTATTCAGCCTTTTCCATAACTATTGTTCTTTATTTATTTTCGTGAATATATTCTCGCTCTGAACAATTGCATCATCAGTTTCTTAATAAGGATGAAATTTTTATGCTTCTGTTATTTTGCCTCTTTGTTACTATCTTCTCATTAGATTATTATTGAAGAAATATACTGACTACCATTTTTGCAAAAAAAGTATATATTTGAGATTGTAAAGCTTCAAGAATGGATTCACTAAAAAAAACCTCTTCATTCAAACACTTTTTCTTGCTAAGTATATTTCTCTAAGACTTCCTTTCTGTGCCTTTTCATGTTCTTGTTTTCTTTGTTGTTTTCTATCTTTTTCCAGATATCACTACTATCATCTGCCAATCAAGAATTAGTGAGACGTCACCATATTGAGGCTGCACGTCTTTTAGCCACTGCAACAGCGATTAAATCAGATAATTCATTTCAAAATCAACATCCTACATTGAATAAGTTATTCTGCTCTGAAAACGATGTTAAAGTAACTGAAATAAATAAAAATGGATTTTATTATAATTCTGACAATATGTTACCATCTTCCACTTCTTCTGAATCAAATTATCGAAATGCTGTTTTGCTGAACTCAGTAGTGATACCACCACCACCATCGTTAACTAAAGTTTCTCATAATACACAAAACTGTGACAAATTCGGAATCCCTTCAATTGCCACTTCAGATAACTTAGTATCCGCTCATGAAATGAATCAACAGCATTCACTGAATCCTATAAAATCTTCAAATGTCAAGCTTAGAACATCAATCGGTGCACCTTCAGTTTTGCGTAATAATACTGAAGTTCATAAATTTGCACCGGTATTAATAAAAACTGTGAATACAGGTAACCATTCTGCCGTTTCAGTTCACACTCCCAATAATAAGGCAGATCGCGATCATAAAGTTATTACTGATAATAGTAATAATCATAACAACACTAATAATACCATTAATAACGGCACTAATCATAGAATTGATAAACACATGAATATACCTCCTCCACCACCTTTACTCCCTATGCACATTCATTCGGATGTTTATGTAGATGGTGTATTATCATCCGCTAAATCTCCCATCGATTTCAACAAACATAAGTATTGTAATAGTAATAATAATCCTTCTTTACTCCCCGAACTGAATCGTTCGTTTATTACATGTAGAACCGATTATGATATGTCACTTATTCAATCAAATTATCGTTCTCATACCAAATCAATGCATGCTTCTCTCCAAGATTTAATTCTTGATGAGTTCTCTCGTGAAACACCATGTATTTCGGTGAGTAATTGTCCTACTGTTACTAAAACTAATAAAAACAGAAATGTTTACAGTATGTCAGATTCTTCATATAGTTGTCAGTACGAGAGTAATCCGGATCCCCTTTTTCAACGTCACAACCACCACAATCATAATCATAAAATTCTTCATCCTAATTACATAGATTACAGTCACCAATTGAATTTACCACCACGTAAACGACACTGGGATTCATCTAACTACAATTCTACAACTACTAGTAATTATGGTGAAGAGTGCGAACCCCCCAAATTGTCTCGTGAGTGTAAGAGTACAGACATGGAGACCTAGCTGTAGCCACTGCTAATACTGCATATAATACTAATAGTTCTAACCTTTCTTAAATGTTCAAGTGTAAATTTGGTGTCCATCGTCACTTTTATTGGTTTCATATCATATTTCCACTACACTCTCTCTATTCAAAACTGTCAAAATTGTTTACTTGCTTTAAAACTGTGTATTTTCTTTTTGGAATTCCTTGTTTTCTCTTCTACAATCTTGATAAGGAAACGAAGTTACCGCTACAACTGTGAAATTTAATGTGCATTGTTACCGTTCAATGATTATTTAATCTAATTTCACACGTCAATAACACATATCTATATTTATGTATGTAAATACGTTTATGGTTCTTTTACGCACATTCTTCATATGATTAAGAATGAAATTCCTTACCATTTGTTTTTTCACATACTTATTTTCAAGAAATCATGTAGTACATTTTTTAAAAATCTTAGGCAATTATATTTCTCTAGATATAATAATAAGAAAGCTGTCCATGTATTGCTTACCATAATTTAGTCTTTATAACGAAATGTTTCAAAGAATATGTATGTATGTACTTACGTGAATATAACAGATAATCACACTACTGTTATCATAATTATGCATATTTCTGTTTTAAATGTGTCTTTCTCATATCACCATTGCTTTAAATTTCCATTTCTTGAATGTGTACACAAGTAAAAGGATGTTTCAGAATGTCCAGTGTAAACTTCCACAGTGCATCGGCTTATTCATTAAGAGAACATACGTTGCCAGGTTATTTGTTATATTACGTTTTTTTTATCTTCTAGAATTTTTTCGAGATTGTTACTACTTACTTTTCACTGAGATATATTGTTTTTGCATCTAGATGATACATTTAATGGTAGTTATCGTTGTCTTGATACCTACACAGTTTTAAAAAGTGTTCCTATTGTTGTCCAGATATTTAACTTCTCATCCAGGTCTACTAGTTTATATTTCTTAGTAATAATTTTTGAGAATCAAATAGGTTTATCTCTGCGTATATTTCAGTTACCTTGTAAATAAGGTGTTAACAATGGCTTTAAGAGATTTCTACAAAATAGCACTTTTAAATTGTCATCTTAGTGGACATTTATGTGGTGATTATATCTGTTGGTGTTATTGTTACAGTGGTAATGATTATGTCTATTTGATATTCAAACTTTTGTAAGTTCTTGTTATCTGGAAGTTTTTCTATTCTCAATGGACTAAAAGTTGGTGGAATCATATGCGTGTCTGGTTTTGCCCATCATTGAAACTGATTACTATTCGTTTCGGAATGAACGGATACATATTGTTTTCGGTATCTTCAGTTTGTAGGCTTGGAAATTTTCCTAACAATTTGTACTACTATTGCTTTTTATTATCATCTAATTGTGAGGATTGAAATTTTATTATGTATGTCAATTATGCTGATGAATTTTAATAGGTAATTTCTTGTTTTCTTACTGCCACGTTCTTAATATCTTGAAAGAGGAAATATAAAAGCCGTTTTGTATATTGACGTCTATCTTTCTGATTTTACCCATTTGTGAGCGGTCTTAATGTTGTCCTCGTTTGTATTATGGTATTCCTTCAATAATATCTCATACCATTCACTTATTGTGTATCCTGGGCATTATGAAGTAGTTTGTTTTAAAAATTAAGTTTTCTCCTTCAGGCGTTTACAATACCATTCACAGTTGGTTATATAATATACCCTTGTGGGCCAGGGTAATTTTACATTGGTTTTCAGGAGAACCAGACACCATCCGGACTTTCACGTGACAACCCGAACAGTACAGCTCAACCCCGTTTAGCAGGGGAACCAGACACCGTATAGGCTTTAACGCTACAATCTGAATAGTACAGCTCAATCCTGTGGCGCAACCACACAGGTACCAAGCCCCCTGGTGGACCAGTTTACAATAACATACTAAAGTAAATTCTGCAGAACTTTTATTTCCTTGAGGAAGTAACCGAATTTGGATATTTGAATCATGAATCAACATCGTACGTCATACAAGGTGGTGGTAAGACTTACGTGACACATGCCTTAACCTTCTCGGTTGATGAAGGTTTACAACCTCAACAATCGATTTTTCGAGTGCCCTATAACTAACTTTAACATTACTCACTGTTGTTCCAGAAAACACGAACAATTTTTAGAGGATAGTTGTGTTCAAAAACTTACAGCCTACACATATTTACTTTCAAACTTTTTGTTTCGTAGCCACGAAGTAATAAAGGCAAACTACTGGGCATACGTCAACCGAAATCTTATAACCCGAGTCGAGATTTCTTCAGACAGTAGTCCCGGCTTGTACGATTTTCAAGATAAGTGAAGACATCAACGCACTAAATAACTTCATTACTTATCAGTAGTTAAGGCGTTGACACATACCAATCCCGAAACAACATTTTGCGTTTAGGAGAGGACCATATTGCAATTATGCTCGGTCGAAAAACTACAATTTTTCAGCGTCCTCACTAAGTCGGTCTACACCATCTGCACATTCTACGTTGATAGGTGAACCTCCTGGTAGATCGACCCGTGAAAATTTAAAGGATGGCTTTGTTATTTTAGGAGGACATCTATAATGAAATTAAATCGGGAAGGTCACAATGGGAGACGCTGACGAACATCAGTCACTCTTGAGCAAACACTCATTTTAAGCATGGCGACGCCTTGCATCAAACCAACGATGGACTCAGGTAAACCATATCACCATCAGTCATCCTTGGTGACGCTTGCTCGATAGACCAAAAGGTCACAAAAACACCAATGGATTTCTTCTAAGTCTGTTGCACTGATGGGTTCCCGTAAACTCATCTCATCAGGCTCTGAACACAATGACGAGCGAAAACAAATCAGATCTGTGTTAACCGGAAGTCTAAGGAACGACCGTGAGCAGTGGTGGGCAACGAAAGCAAAAGAGGTGGAAAAGGCGGCAGCTGTAGGTAACACAAGACAGCTCTTCAACTAATAAAATAAAATGGAATTTATAAGTCAAGTGTATACGAGACCATCTCAGAAAAGAACAAAAGTTATCTGCTCTCAGTTCAGGGGTTTAAAACGATGAGCGGAGCACTTTAAGAAGCACTTCAGCTATTCTACAACCACCCACCATTCCCAGACAGCCTGGATTGGAACATTGAAGTAGATCCCCCGAATCTAGCTGAAGTTAAAATGGCTATAGCTTATCTTAAACGAGAAAGAGCACCTGGTTCACATAGATTGGCTCTAGATGTCCTTAAGAATGGTGGTCCAACTTAAGCGATTAGATTGACGAATATTTTAGCTAAAATCTGGGATGCAATCCCATCTGACTGGTCGTATTCACTGATTGTCACAATATTTAAGTGTCAAAATCATCCTGTGATAACAAAAGAGGTAATAGTTTGACTACTATAGCATCTAAATTACCAGCCTCAGTAATTATTGGGAGCATAGCTAAGACACGTGAACTGCAAATACGTAAGATAAGGCTGATTTCAGACCTGTTCGTAGCTGCATCGACGAAACAATCAGCGTTCATCAAGTTCCAGAACACAGAAATGCATTCCGTCGTCCGACAGTGATATTCTTTCTTCACTTAAAGGCATCATTTCACTGTGTTGACCGAGAAAATCTGTGGCAGAGTCTGTCACTGGAAGGCGTACGTAAGAATTACAAAAACCTTGATAAGGCTATTACTCGAACACTAATAATCGAATGAGAGCTGTTTTACTTTACAGCTGTGAAACGTGGCTATTAAGAGTAGAAGATACTAGTAAGCTACTAGTATTTGATCATAGATTTCTTAGAAATATTGCTCGCATCTGTAAGTAGTAGTGAGGGTTGGAAAAAAGGTAAGGGCGGCCAAACCGAAACATGGCATCAGTGCTTGAAGTCATGAACTCCCGGTCTGAGCCATGTTTGTAGACACAGACTACTCGTTTGGGGTCCGCCCGACTATCGTAACCAATGGTTGGATACTCTTTGTGACATGGCTCAGAATCAATCACAAAGGCGTAGGTGTCTTCTCTTAAACCGTGAGATTAAAATGATCTTTCTTTTTACGAACTAATTCTTTCTTCCGGTACTATGCTTTTATATGCAGTCTTTCTTTTATATATTACTACCATTGAAGTAATTACTTCTATGAATTTGTTGTTCATCTCGTTGTGTTAATAAGGTGTGTCGACTTGGACCGATGCATGTATGTTACTGGTCCTGCTTTGTAGCTGACTGTTTGCAGACGGTCCGGTAGGATTGCTGAGAAATGTGGTCATAACCGTTTCCAGAACGCAGGTAAGTCATTCTCTTACTATCTACCTCGTCATGTTAAGCATAGGTGCCTCGTTACCGTCAGCGGTAGAGTGCGAGGTATTGAGATTGACGTACCATCAAGTACTGGAGCTTCAGAATCACTTACCAAGGAAGAGTTTCTGCAATAACTAAACCACAAGCCACATCGGAAAGAATGTTCTCCTGCTCTAAACACAGCAAGTGGTGACCCTTTAAAAGCGTGCTCTATGACACGGTTAAGGTTAACGACAGACAAGCATTCGTATCGAAATGACTTGTTAGTTTGCCCCACACGTACTTGGAACATGATACCCGGCGCTGATTTCATGTTAGGACATCAGGTTTTTCTATACATGGACAGGTCGAAGGCGAAAATTGGTGGGGCCATAGTGCACCTACAACACCACGGAAGGCCGACTAAGGCTGCATGAGGGAGTTTCAGAAATTGCACGTCAGGTACAAGGAAATCAACTAATGAACGAAAATGGCCGTCGCGTAATCATTGCTGTACTTCAACAGTTTAGTGGTGTGTTCGAGGGGGGTATCTCCGGAAACCGGGCGACAACAGCACAAGACTTTTCATAGGGGACCACATGCCTCTTCGTCAGCCACCCCACAGTGCACGAGTACACTACCAACCGCAACCGGATGCGATTAAAAATAATATATTAGACGAAAAGATTGTTGTCCCCTCATCATCCCTCTGGGCACCACCTATTTTTTTAGTGAAAAA